TGATACAGTAAACTCTTGCCAATCGCGAGGGATAGGTTCCAAGAAATGGCACGAATTGGCAAAACCGGTAATACCCATTTATATAATACCTTAGTGCACTTATATACAGGTACTGTATATCTATAATGTACTGTGTAACAGAAACTTAAGTCACAATACTGTACAATACTTACATTTATATGTGGAAGTCTGGAGCTTGATGAAGTGGTGCACTGTACATAGGGAGACATCTGGTGACTGAAGCATAAGTGGATCATCACAATCACTGGTGGAAGAGGGTGAATCAGTGGTGGTTGGTGGAGAGGCGAGTGGTGGGGTGGTGCGTGACCGGGAGGTGGTGGGTGACTGGGAGGAGGAGGGTGGAGTGGCAGTGGTAGCAACTGGTTCTTCCTTTATAAACTTGGTGATTGGTAGTTGTTTCCTCTTGGCTTTGAGGTCTTTTAAACATTTCCGGATAGGGACACAATACCTGGTTGATTCCTGGCTACGTTCCAAGCCAGGCTTGATCATGTGGTCAGCCCTATTGCCACAGAAGATGAGCATCACTCTGTCCTTGTCTGCCTTGAACCCAGAGGCACGCCTCTCCTGCTTGTGTATGTAGGTTCTACCAGGCATTTTCTTCCAATATAAACCAGATTCATCAGCATTAAACTCTTGCTCTGGTCTGTAGCCTTTCTCATCTATTATGTTCTTCAGCTTGGTGGTAAATGCACCTGTGGCTGTGTGGTCAGCTGATGCAGCCTCTCCAGTCAGCTTCACATTATGGAGCGAGAATCTTTTCTTAATATTCTTGAACCAACCTTTACTGCCACTAAAAGTTGGTTCAGTCACTCCACTAGCCCCTTCACCACCTGTTGACTCATAAAAATGAGCATAAAGACTTTTAGCCTTTTTAGGAATAACATTACTGTCAATATGAACATTTTTGTGGTGCTGGTCCTCATCCAAATGTTCAGAGCTTTCTCAGTTATCACTATGTTCTTGTCACGAACAACCTGCGCCACTTTAACACTTGCAGGAGCACTCGCTTGAACAGAATCACGAATTGCTTGTTCATTCTTTCTTATGTACCGCACTGTGGATTCGTTCACACCAAACAACCGGCCAACCGCGGCAGCACTTATCCCCTCTTTTAACTTGTCTAATAATTTAATTTTCTTTGCCAGGGTCATCACTGACTTTTGCCTTTTATGTTTCAATCCACTAGCACTGGCACTAGGAAGTCTTTTAGGGGCCATTTTCACAAAGAAACACGAAAGTTTTGAGAGTATGACACGAGATGCTGGGTCACGGGTACTGGGTGAGGGCAAACAGAGCGAGATGAGACGCTGCGGGCGAGTGGGGTGACTCGTTGCACTGAGGGGGGAGGCTTGCATGAGAGCCACCCAAGCCGTCAGCTGCTTACCACAAATCGTCGAAATTGCGATCATAACCCCGCGAATGGGAAGGGTCTAATAATAATAATTAATGGTTTATTAAAAGAGCTTGGCAGCCAGAAGGCTGAAAATATACAGTTACATAATTGGGGAATGGGTTTCGAATTACAAATAATATACAAATAGTGTGGCATGATAGCTCCCACAGCCAGGGGAATACTGGCTTTTCAACCACACAGCATTGCCAAGGAGCAGCGAACGATGTTGTCAAGTCACACATGCTTATAATCAGCGGCCTGGGATGTGAGGATCTGCGCGGAAGTATACGGGAAACTTAAGTTGTTGTAGCATTCCCGTTAACAGTTGCCAAGGGAGTGATTATTCAGCACTATCTTTACGTACCTCCTGTGAGAGTGAAGGTGTGAGGGAAGACTGTGAGTGAGTGAGGGGTCAAGGAGGGAGGAGAAAGATAGGTTTGGCACTTGTACAATTCTTCTGGGCTTGTGAGTAAAGGCTGTGTATGGTCAGGACTGTTGTATGAGTCAGAGGTGTGGACACATTTAGCAGTCACCAGATAAAAGTTGGAGGTCTTGGAAATGTGGTGTTATGGGCCAATGTTAAAACTAATTTACACTGACAGGAAAATAAATGAAGAAGTGTTAAAATTAGTGAAAACTTCAAGAGAAATACTTAAAATTTAGAGACTAAGGAAAATAAGATACTTAGTCATATAATTAGGGATGAGGAGGATAATGACAAAAATAATAATGGGCAAAGTTGAGAGTAGGCGGTCCATGGGAAGACAGAGACCAGGATGGATGAATGAAGTTAAAAACTGGGGCCCCAGAGAGATACAAACCATAGAGCAGTGGTCTCCAACCTGTAGTTCCTTGGGGCCCACAGAATCATGTTATGGAGCCCATGAGGGTTTATTAGAAAACTGTGAATTATTTGGGATTCTTTGTAAGGGTGAAATTTATGAAAATATGTAATAATAACTTGATTCAACTTTATAGTTTAAGAGAAAGAGAGAGAGGGGAGGGGGGGGGTTACTGTGCTTTTGTCCCGAGTCTGTCGTGTGTATTTACCTCAGACCAGGCCCACAGAGAGAGAGAGCCAGCCTTCTCACTGGGGTAAACACACACTTCCTGTCCAAGAGTAAATGTAAAAAGTATGTAATTGATAACAGTTAGATGTGTAAAACTGTTAATAACTGTACAGTATATATGAGACCTTTTTCTTGAATGTAGATCCAAAGTTTAGACGCCCTCCAATATATTTACAATGATAAATGTGGCCCAGAGTCTACAACAGGTTGGGAACCACTGCCTTAGAGGATTGGTAAAAGCAGCCTGAGAACATTTCAAGTGTAGGACTGTGGTCACCAACCCTGTACTCTGATCGATTGATTATATTCACATTTTCATAAATATTTATTGAAGGTTGTGAGGTGACTCCCTAATATGTACTCAACTATACAACTAGGGAAGCCCTGTTTTGTGATGGTTCAAATATTGATAATTTGTACTTAAAGTCAGATTAATTTAGGACCTAATGCAAGTTACACCAAAAATTTATTCATATTTATGACAAAAACAGCACACACACAAAATAGAATTACTGTACCTGTAATTTTATAAATAAATATTAAATATTATAAAAATATAAAACATTTAATTTAAAAAAAAAAAAAATCCACAAATTATACTGAGCACGAGAGTTTGGATTATCATCCATTATTTATAAGGATTTTTCCTTTGACTGTGAACTCTTCTTCTCCATCAACTTCAGTATATTTTACAAAGTTGAGTGCAGTCTCCAGCGAATGTGTCTGAGCCTCATCATTACTATGTATTGACAAGTATTTTCAATGTACTTTTCATACATATAAGAGCTCCAGAAACATGTAAATCCTCAGTTTGCAACACATCTACCATGTGCTTAGTTTTGTATATAATATTTTTCATGAACATCAAAGCAACAATAAAATCAGATGTCTTAATTTTGTAGAGGAGACCATTACCTTTGTCTTTGCTTCTTCACATATCTCTTCATAAGATTTCCAGAAGACATCCACTGACTCTGGGCTGGGACTCCATCTTGTCTTTGCAAGATTTTTAATGGCATTGTTCCTTCAATTTGTGCAAACTGTTCCTTAAGAGCTGCATGACAGCTGGTGCTACTGCTAAAATGTACATGGCAAGATCCCAGTACATCATACATATGTATAATTAATTCACTTGAATTGCAGCCAAGCTCAGTCACTAAATTAGAGCCATGAGGGAGACAGGGAATGTAAGTGATTGGTCTCTCAAGTGTGTCAGATAATTTCTTTTGAGCACCATTGTACTTTACAGACATTGTCGCTGCACTATCATAAGTTTGACACCTAATGGTGTATGTGTCAATTTTACTTTCTGAAAGGGATATGAGTCGTGCTTTTGCCAAACCTTCTTTGGTTTTGCCTTGTATTCTGCAGTTTTTATAAGCCATTCCTTAAGTTTGTCACTTGCATCAACAAGTATAACTCCTACAGTTAGTTGATCCACATAAGTAATGCCTGGGGTTGTATCTGCTCTGACTCCAATCATCCCAGCACCATTTACCTCTTCAGTAATTTTGTCCTAAACACTTTCACCGAATAATGATACTTGTTCTTTTTGACAATTCTTGCTCATATAAGTAGTGTGATAAGCTCTGGCATCTCTCTCAGTAAGCCAAGCTTTCATTGTAGTATTATGCCTACCAAAAATTTGAACAATCTGTTCAAAATTTAGAATCAATTTCATTTTCATTCCAAAATGCTAAACCTTGTCTAGCACGTGTGTGGGCTATGTCTAACATCATCAAAATTACTTCACGCTGCTGCTGAAGGATTTTATCTTCTTCCATTAACCTATTTCTTATATTCTTATCAAGCGATCTTACGTCTGGCGTCATCATAACCGTTCAAAACACAATCCACTATGTTACCTCTTGCTACCAGTGTAATAATAATCGGTTTATGAATAGAGTTGCAGCCGGTGGCTGAAAATATACAGACTTACATTTGATTTTGACATAATGATATAATATGCATTGAATACATTTACAGGGCTGCACAGTACATAAATCAGGAGTTGTTTATTATTTTAACAATAGATAGGATGGTGCTGTTCTTATATCTATCGGTGTGTGTGTGTGTGTGTGTGTGTGTGTGTGTGTGTGTGTGTGTGTGTTGATCATCTCCCTGAATTTTTAAGATCATTGTGACCAATTTCTGGCAACTTGACCAACTCAAGACCAATCATTGGGGTGGGGTTCATCCCTGACTGTCAGTTGTTTTGTTTATGTAAAAGTATTTATGCCATGATTTATGTCAAACCATCTTGTAGAATTCCTTGACAGAAGTAAATTGCATCTTTTAATGTTCTTGATATGACAATACAGTACTATACAATAAAGGATTCCTGAAATGTTTTGTTTGGACAAAATTCTTGTTAATTAATTATTGTGTAGTGTAAAATGTAATCTTTTAACTGATGATATAGATGTATTGTACAGTTAAAAGACAAAGCATCATATTTGTCTTAAGTATAAGCATTAACTTATTAATCTGATAATGTAATTATACTTTATCTTCAGAAAATACTCAGCGGCATCACTCCAACAGACATGATAGCTATAACAACACTTGTCCTGGCGCCCGACATCAAGATGCGTCTTGTTCAAGAGGTGACCAACTTCCTTCAGTCTCAACTACAAATGCAAATTATAGATTGAGTATTGTAATGCATTGTGTAAGAGCTACTGTGGGGGAGTCAGGGTATTGTTGAGGTCTTATTTTAATACTTACCAATGTTAATGGTGCTTGTATACTATTTGGTACTGTATGGTACTATGTGGTACTGTGCAGTACTGTGTGGTACTGTGCAGTACTGTGTGCTCCTGCACAACACGTAGTTACTACTGTGGAAGGACTGTCGCTCTCCTAAACAACATTGCCAGTTTTGACACCTATGAAATGATTGCCCTTGTCCCCCACCCTACTACACTTGTGACTTCAGGTTTTGTCCTCTCTCTCTCTCTCTCTCTCTCTCTCTCTCTCTCTCTCTCTCTCTCTCCTTTCAGTTTGTAATGAAATATGAACTTTGTTTTGGTTTAAAGTAAAGTTAAGTTGTTCTTTCGTTCATTATAAGAAAAATCATTTAACAGGCGGGTTTTCAGGAACTTAACCCATTTGTATAGCGAGGGATATTTGTATAGCTATTATACAACCAAAAAGCATATACAGTACAGTATTATACAGTACAGGTTGTACCTCTCTAGTCCGGCAACCTCAGGACCTGACCGGTGCCGGACCATGGAAATTCACCCTTTTCCTGGACAGATAGTGACTTGCACTTAAGTTAGCACCACTTTCACTGCTTCGTGGTCTCTTTGAAGACATATTGAAGGGTTAAATGTCGTACAGTAGCTTCTCAAATTTCACGAGTTTTTAATTCACCGTTTTTTATTTGGACAGACAAAAAAAACACTACATAATTTAAAATTTTGACGGCGGAAACTCGAATTTCGACGGGTTTGAACGGCTCGCCAACGTTCAGACGACGTGCACAATCGTGTAAGCAGCGTCATTTCTCTTATGTACAAAAGATTCATTATTGTTTATTACTGAATGTCTTTTTTATTGAATTAATGTTTGTGTGCAAAATGAGCAATACAATTCATTAATAATACGTAGAATATTAAAACACACGAGGAAATAACACAGCATTGTTTTTGTTAATAACAAAACCAGTGACTGATTGGTTCTACATATAAAACAAGAAAATAAGACCCTGGTTGTAGCTGTAGTAAAATTAATGTAAAAATTAATATGGTTGTTTGATGTAATATTATTTAATGTTAATAAATGGAACATTATAAGTAGTTAACCATTAATGTTAAAGAAAAAAGTGAGATTGCGCGTATGTAAGTGCGCACATGTAAAAACATATCGTCATTACTCTACATAAGAATATGAAAGCAACACTTATTTACTGTTCATATATATTGAAGGGTTAAATGTTGTACTCTGTACTGTATAGACAAACAGAGAGAGAGAGCCAAACTGCTGGATGTAAACAAACCTTAATTTCTCGCGGCTTTGTTGTTGTTGTTGTTTTTTACGGGGATTAGCCCATCCGGGCACAGGTCACTGACCCACATTGGAGCCTGAGGGGCAAAAATGCAATACTCCAGTAATAATAATAGAAATTCAGATCAGTAAAAAAAAAATAAAAAAAAAAGCTGCTTGTCTACCTATTGGACAAACTAAAATCGTTCTGGACCACGGGAGTTTCCGGACCACAGAATGCCGGACTAGAGAGGTACAACCTGTACAACCAAAAAATGTATGCAGTAATATACTGTACAACCAAAAACTGTATGCAGTAATCTACTGTACAACCAAAAGCTGTATGCAGTATTCCCTTAAAGCTCACGGTGTTTAAAGTTTGCATCCCTCGGAAGCTCACGGATTGACATGGAAAATATAAATCAAATAAATGTGAGGCTGTGTGCCGGGGATCACTACAGGACAGTACACAGCACCATATTTCCCAGGTCATAAGATGCACCCTATAATTAACAAGGTATATTTTGGAGAAAAGAATTAGTACATCTTTAATAGTGTACTGTACTGGTAAAGCCAAATCACTGGTTATATGCTATCATGTTTCTCATTACCACAGCTCACTGTCAGTTTATGGACCTATTATCAAACATTTGTTGGTATTATTAATGTACCTTATTTAATACAAAAGGATATAATTATACGTACAGGTACCTACTGTATACACCTTACAAATGCTCATTAGTACCGGGCATGTTCACTGACCAGTACAGGGATTGTTTACATCCTGTGCACCAGATCACCTCACATGTCAGGTATTATATTGTTACAAGTATCACTGTGTGGACCTAATGTGTTATATCTTGTTTGTTTATTTATTTATGTTATTTTATATTTATTATATTGTTTTTTGTATACATAATGTTGTTATACATGTGCATTTAGTTATTTAAATATGTATTTTACACACTCCTGGGACTGGCATGAAAAAATCAACGAATTCTGCTTTCTCACAGAGTCCATTTACCTAACCCCAGCGAGCTTTAAGGGAATAGTACTGTACAGTACAACAGTATACAACCAAAAAAGTGTATACAGCATTGTACAACCAAAAAGGGCTATATGATGCTATAATATAATCCGATGGTTTTTAAAAATAAAATTCTTTCTTAATCTTTACCTGGTGGCAATATTTTTCTTGAAATATATACAGTGATATCCCCGTTAGCCGGAACAATTGGTGCAGAGCACTTCCGGGAATGAGAGATTTCCGGTTAACGAGACGACTCAGAGCTGGAATAAAATCCCTCAGCCCCGGAATTTTCTGAGTACAGGTAACTGAAAATTTATCTTGGAATTTCCAGAAAATACGTCCGAGTTTCATCTCTCAAACACTGAAAAAAATCCCCCATCCCCAGAATTTGCCGGGTATTGGGAAAATTTTCTCGTAATTTTCCAAAGATGTGCTCCATTGGAAAATCGTTCCCAAAGCCGGAATTTTCCGGAAAATTCCGGCTTTGGGAATGATTTTCCGAGAAAATTTCAATTTCGCCCGTCGAAGAGTTCCGGGTCTGAGGATTCTGGCTAATGGAGACATTACCGTACACCAAGATTCTCCTCACTGACTCACTCACTGGCATTAGTCTCTTAACTTGATCACTGTGAAGGCCAGTCTGTCTCTTGCCAGATACTTTATACTTACTTAATTGTGATAAAAATTTGTATACTGTACAGTAGTAATATTTCTATTTTTAAATTTCTGTTGTTATATCAAGACTTGTAATACACTATTGGGGAGACAATTTGTTTGGGAAATGTGGCTTCGTATGTCTTGCTGATGAAATTTACAGAACGTCTCTTACAGTCCTCGTGTCAACATTCTCACATCTTCATAATTTTACGGCCATTTTCCACACCGGTGAATGCCTGATGGTGTGATGCCCTGGTTGTCATGAGGCCAATATTATGATTGGATGCCCCTCCTATCATTAACTCATTATTACAGAGTGGGAACTGTGCTGACCCTCACGAGTACGGGAAATGTCCGTAAAATATTGATGATTAAGGTGATGATGAGCTGGGCATTATGTGTGTAACTTTTCTGTGCCCTTGTAGCTGTTAACACTGTCAGGGTCATTACTCTCTGAGGTAGTTAAAGATTATTTATTTCATACAGTATTATCACACACACACACACACCCATAATAACTATGTACAGTACAGTAATCAAGACTTAGCTGGGGTCCCGATGAATTCCTCATGGCTCGAGCTTCATTATATTTCACCAAATTTAAATTACTGTACCTCCTGCAGAGAGTTACTGCACTGTACATGTAGTTTAGGATTTACTGTATTAAAAACAATGAGAAATAGAAAAAATACCTAAGTGCAAACCATGACATAGGATATAAACCATATACTATACTTATAAACCATTGTACAGTATCTGAACCTGGTAATTATTGGGAGATACTCGATGCTTGTTCAGACACTCTTGTAACGTGGGTTTATATCTCATAGGTCAGCAGAATTATTAAGTTGTATTAGTAAGCAACATCTTCCATGCATTCAATAATAGTTTGTGGCACGTGCCTCACCCAGGACCCTGTGTTTGTGTGCCCACGATGGTATAAACTTTGGTACAACTTATCAGTGCTACCTTATTTTCACCATTTTCTTCTTGACAAACAGCAGTCAAGGGACCAAATCAGCTGTTGCTACTTAACCATCATTAATGTATTCCTGTTAGGTGAATGTAAGTCTGTCCACAAACATTACATAGTGATAAACTACTCTGTTATCTGTTATACCATCACATACTATAGGTCAAGTTTTTATTATTATTATGTACATGGTGGATTGACAGGGGGTGACTCAGAGGTTCACACATAGAGGCGTTCCGAATCATATCCTACCGACCGGTGGTGGACGACAGGTTATCTTTCCGATCGCCTCATTATGGTATATCGTCTTTTTTCACTGTAGCTTTGATAATTTTGTCATACGTAAAGATTGAAGTTGGGAAGATTATTTGCAGTGTCCCAATGGTTCATGTTGGATAATAATTTTTGGTTTTATTAGCATCATAGACCTTAGTTGATGCTATCTTTTATTGTTTGGTTACAGTTAATATAATGTTGTATTAGTTATAAGTAGTGTGTTGTGTGTGGGTGTCATGATGTTCTTTACGTTGATTTGTTTAGGTTTTTGTTTCTTTAATGATGATTTACTCGATAGAAGTTTGTTGATATGATAAAGTTAAGGACTATCTCAAGGTTAACTCCCCCAAGTTTAATTTCACTTTATGATTAACCACCCTAACCTAAACTACCCTAACCTAACCAAAACAGGTAATATAAAGCGTGTTTGATCATCAGGTGAATTGAAGTGAGTGTCGTGTTCATAATGATTTTTATGTCTGTATGCGTCTTGCACCATACTGCCTTGACCCTTGACCTGACCTACCTTATAGTGCAGTACAGGCGTTCCTCTATTTACGAAGTTTCAGAGATACGAACATCATCGTTGAGGGGGTTAGTTGCCTGTCAGAGTTGGTGTTTACTGTGGATGAGATTTGATTATATTGGATGAAGATGCCAACCAGAATGTACAATACCAAAGAGGAGAAGAGTATGCCAGGTTTTAAGACTGTACTGTAGAGTGTAGTAGAATAGTTGTATTTTACAGTTCCCCCAGAAAGTATCGTTAGATTTACCGTCATTACAATTTGAAACGCTGGACGAGATGCTTTGGTACAATCACCATCATCATAAGTTGGTACACTTGCTCACCACATGACTATAGAGGGGTAGGGAGTCGTCCTTGTATGGCATACAGTATTAGATACTTCAATGTAACAAAATATCCATTAAGCTATATTATTGTATATATTGTTCAAAAACGTATACACTCATTGGTGTTCAAAGGCCGCGGTGTAGAACTACCAACTGTTCAGAAACAGGTCGAATAACACCGTTCGGAAGCCCCAAATCACATCGACCCCGTGGCCCTACGATACATTTTTGGGGGTTGTACATGCTTTATTTTTTTACAATATGTTGGGCATCTACAAGAGTAAAGTTGGACTTAGGAACAATCCTCAGGAACGTAACTTGTTGGTAGTTAGAGGAACACCTGTACTGTACTGTACATAGAGTTTATGACAAGTGGAGATAATAGGCTGGTTGATAGATGAACTAAACACTATATTTCTGTATATTTGTTAAAGGTTTTTAACCAAACTATGCTAATATGGTGTAGCCCAGGCATGGGCAACCCAC